AATCATGTCCTACTATCATTGTTATATTCCATACATTATATAGTTTATCTAAAACTGGTCATGAAATCTGTTTGTTTTTATTTTGAGTTATTGGAATCGTGTCCTACTATCATTGTTATATTCCATACATCATGTAGTTTATCTAAAACTGGTCATGAAATCTGTTTGTTTTTATTTTGAGTTATTGGAATCGTGTCCTACTATCATTGTTATATTCCATACATCATGTAGTTTATCTAAAACTGGTCATGAAATCTGTTTGTTTTTATTTTAAATTATTGGAATCATGTCCTACTATCATTGTTATATTCCATACATTATATAGTTTATCTAAAACTGGTCATGAAATCTGTTTGTTTTTATTTTAAATTATTGGAATCATGTCCTACTATCATTGTTATATTCCATACATCATATAGTTTATCTAAAACCTCTCAATGTAAACTTAACCCCATAAATGAGTTTGGTAAATAGACACTGGACTTTTTAGTCACTTTATCTTTTGTTCATTGTAACATATGGTCCAAAACTGTTTATTTTTAACTAACTTATAAATATTAGATTGAGAATAGTCCTGAAATCAAAATTCCTTACTGAACCTTACACATTTTCATTCCAAATCTTTAAAGTATGTGCCTGTTTTTTTTATCCATCAGTTAGTCTGGTTTTGATCACATGACTTTTGAAGTCAAATGAGTTTCGGAGATAAGTTTTTTTTTTTACACCAATACACAATATTTCAATCCAATGTGACCAAGTTTTAATCACAATAATAATATCCCCTCCCCCTCCCAAGAAATGAAACATTCATGACTTACAAATATCACATGGTATCACATATCATTCTTGTGTCATTCAATTATGGCAAAATAAAATGAAAGTATCACTGAACCTCTGACCCAATCAGCGGTGTCTTCTGTTGTACGACACTTAACAGCAATAAACACCAGTGCTCTCTTTTTAACGGACACCTTGATTTGCATCTGATACTTGGTGAAAATGTACCAAACCTGAGAACGTATTATGGTCTTTCATTTGTTGATTGTGTTAAATTCAGCATACTGGAAAGGATTATGAAAGAATGACACTTCTTGTGTTAGCAGCCCAAACTATATATATATAGGTTAAGGCATAATTATCTATTGCCCCTTGAAAATATTGTTAAGAATTTCTTCATATCACCCACCTCAGTTTTTACTTCAGATCGAGATGTTCTAATAACATCAAATATCATTTCTTCGTGCTTATAATTATTTCATATGTTTCCTTAACATTCTTTGTTTAAAATGATCTGTCTTCAACCAGTGTCATCTCAAATGAAGTACAGTTTCCTGAAGACAGTAACTAATGATAAAAAAAACGAGCAAACGGAAATCAATACTTGTGGTCTTTACACTCAACAGTGTACGTACATATTAACTGAATCTGGGTGTCAGAACATTAAATTTATACATGTACAATATTTGATTAACAGCACTTATTATTGTAAAAATCTGGGAAGAACACAAAGATTATTGAATGGAAAACAAAAATTACGGTTAAAACCGTTCTCATTTCTGAAAGTTTGAAAATGATTAAATAAGATTAGGTATAATATTTGCCGAATTAAGGGATGGTACACTTTCTGCCAAATTTTCAACAGCACCAATGTCAAGACAGCAGAGATCTGCTATCACACGGGGATGGGAGGCTCACAGGGACAGATTCACTAAAACAACTGCACTCTAATGCTTCAATAAGTTACTACACACTTCACTAACAACTAAACTCCCAAGTGGCATTAATAAAAAAAAAGAGGGACTACGGACTTTTGTTTTATCCATTTTTTTTCTTTCTTTCTTTTTTTAACACAAGTGTTGTATCTTCAACCACTACATCTATATTACTGGCCACTGGGTAGTTTCCTTGACCACCACAGTAGATCACAGCCAGAAGACATGTAACATCACAGACCAGGTCACACCTAACTGAACAGTTACTCTGACTATTATAGCCTCTGGACACTGGCTTGGTCACTGTCACACACCTAGAGGGTCTGACCCTATATTATGCAGGGAATGACACAAGACATATTGCACACAATTTAAAAGCTTAGGTTAAGGGCAGCTCAACAAGGATGGCAGATTACTGATGGGGGTACGACAAAAGGCTTGGAATTTTTAGAACAAACATTATTACAGCCATCTTGCTGTAAGTCTTTTATCACATACCTCTACCTATAAACTATTTAAATCTTGGACTTCTTTTACAGATGTACTTGGCAATGTTCCATATTAACCATGTTTTCAATACTTCGTGGTTCAGTTCAGTTTTCTACTGATCCATTTTTAAGGTATCAGAGGGTGATGTTGGCTCCTGTTTGATCCCCATTTGTGAAAGAGCAACCAGAGCATTCAGACTGTTTTCTACTGGTTTACTCCCAGTATAAGTTGCATTCTGACCTGGTTTATCATCCAAATCACAAATTCCATTTGTAACATTTTGAAAGGTTGAAATGGTGCTGATTCGGTGATGGTACTTATCCGTTTCCAATGACCCATTCAAGGGTGTTGAATAGCCATTGTGGGTAAACTTTGGAGAGTTCCCAGAAACACATTCTGAGACTATTGTAACACATGAATTTGAAGAGGCAGAAATCATTTGATTATGGGCAATACTAGATACTCCAGTAGAAGCAGCTGTGCTCACACAGTCTCTACTAAACTTTGGAGGACGTCCTCGAGGACGACCTTCTGGCTTGGAGGGGCTTATAACTTGAACTTCGGATTCATCTCTTATGTGATTGGCCAACTCTTTGATAACTCGCAGTCCCTCATCCATCAATGTTTCTTGCACCAGTTGCCTTGTGATTTGGGCATTTGTTCTCTTAGTGGCTGACACAGCTCTCACGACACTGAATGCATCTTGGGTTTGGAGGGATTGGCTTGAGTCTTGAGATGGAGAGTTATGGTTATCTTGGCTGAGGGCTGGGGAGGAGAGTGTGCTATAAGCTGAGAACTGGGAGTCTGCAACAAAGTTATCAAGAGCATCTTAAATATACATTTAAAACACTTAACTAATGAAGTCCATTACACCAGAAATTAGTTTAACTAAAGAAACATTCATACTTAAATTTTGAAATACTACATTAGTTGCATTATAAGAAAAAAAGATTTTAAAGGTATAGAACATAACAATGGCAGTATGACATAATTTAAGATAAACTATATGATGTATGGAATATAACAATGATAGTAGGACATGATTCCAATAATTTAAAATAAAAACAAACAGATTTCTTGACCAATTTTAGATAAACTATATGATGTATGGAATATAACAATGATAGTAGGACATGATTACAATAATTTAAAATAAAAACAAACAGATTTCTTGACCAAAATAAGATAATAGTTTTAAACAGAAGGATTTGTAATCTTACTTTAACTGTAGTAAGATAACAGTTTTAAACAGAAGGATTTGTAATCTTACTTTAACTGTAATAAGATAATAGTTTAAACAGAATGATTTATATTATTACTTTAACTGTAATAAGATAATAGTTTTATTAAACAGAACGATTTATATTATTACTTTAACTAATAAGATAATAGTTTTATTAAACAGAAGGATTTATAATCTTACTTTAACTGTAGTAAGATAATAGTTTTATTAAACAGAACGATTTATATTATTACTTTAACTGTAATAAGATAATAGTTTTATTAAACAGAACGATTTATATTATTACTTTAACTAATAAGATAATAGTTTTATTAAACAGAAGGATTTATAATACTTACTTTAACTAGTAGTAAAGATAATAGTTTATTAACAGAACGTATTATA